CACACACACACACACACACACACACACACACACACACACACACACACACACACACACACGCGCACACACACACACTCTCTCTCCTCTGCTGCAATGTACTGCAGCTGCGCTATGCTTAGAGCTGAAGTCCTACAGCTGCGCTATGCTAGCGCTGAAGCCCTACCACTATCGTCGACTACCACTACTGCTATGCCGAATGCCTGCTGAATACCGACTGAGGCTGCTGGTCCGGCCTCAGCCGTGCTTCGAATCGAATCGAGGACTAGCGCCAACACTGGCTGGGCCTGAACGGTCCTGGCGGCTAACCTGGCGGCGCGAAACTGGCTGGGCCTGAACAGCCTGGCGCCTAACCTGGCGGCGCGAAACTGGCTGGGCCTGAACGGCCTGGCGCCTAACCTCAAACCTACAGGACCCTAAACAGGGCTGAAACGACACGGGGCCTAGCTGGACCTAAGTACCCCCCCTAACCCAACCCCTAGTCCTACCTGGACAGGCCTGGTAGGGCCCGTGTGGAACTCAGAATGCCACATGAATACAATAACGCAAGGAGCTATCCCTGTTGTAAAAACGAAAAAAAAAAAAAAGGAAATTTGACTGCAATCCTAATAGAAATTCGCAATGAAGTAGCAGGGAAAGTGCTGCATTAACCAAAAAGGACAACAGACGGAGAGGATGTCGACGAGAAGAGGATAAATGGAAGGATTTAGACGTGGGCAGACCGGCGGTGTAAGCTCGACAACTCCTCGGAATTAGCTGCTGCAGTGTATCTAGCGGGTCATGATGATGATGTCAGCCACGGAAGGGAGGATGGAACGATGCAACATCGGGGGAAAGACGGGCATCGTCAGCTCGACAGCTCATGTGAACATGCGTATACACGCGCTGACGAGGTCATGCCAACGACAGGTTCCGATGAGCTGCCGAGCTGGATACGCAGGTTCAAATGAGCTCGATAAGCAGGTTCGGATGGGCCCACACTTTCGTGAGAATTGTTGGCTGTTCGAATGAGCTGAATAAGCAGGTTCGGGTGGGCCCACACTTTCGTGAGAATTGTTGGCTGGATGCACAGCTTACGGCAACAACGTGAGCCAGCCCTGAGTCGGCAGTAGTTCAGTCCAATGTTACTGTGGTTATCCCTAGAGTTACTGCAGTTATTCCAAGCGTTGTTATGAATAGACAGGTTTGAATGCGGCCACAGGTTCCGATGGGCCCACAGGTTTGTGAGTATTGTCCGCCGGATGCACAGGTTATGCCAACAACGTGAGCCCTCGGTCTGCAGTAGTTGACCCCCAGTGTTACTGTAATTATCCCTAGAATTACTGTGGTTATTCTAAGTGTTCTTACTTATAGACCCATTCTGCGGTAGCTAACCCCCAGTGTTACTGTAGTTATCCATAGAATTACTGCGGTTATTCTAAGTGTTCTTAGTACTTCTTACTTATAGACCCATTCTGCGTTAGTTAACCCCCCGTGTTACTGTAGTTATCCCTAGAATTACTGCGGTTATTCTAAGCGTTGTTACTTATAAACCCTGCAGTTATTCTTGGTCTTGTTACCGATACCCATAGCTCATGACAGCCTGGAGGAAAGACAGTCCCAGGCATTTACAGGCGGAGGAGGAGAAGAGGGAAGACAACGACAAAATGTTCAAAAAACAGATAGAGATGGTTTGGGCGGCTGTGTGATGTCCTGAAATATGCAGAACAATACTCACCAGTGATTGTTCCCTTAGCACGCCTTGGGAACCTTTTGTTTTGTATTGGTTTTGTCAACGATAAACCTTTTTCGAATAGCTCTGACACACAGAACTCCATCTCCCCAATGTAGTCTTGCTCCTGGAGACACAGCTGCATGCAGCAATAAATTGCGTGCACGTGTGAGAATTTGACGAACAATAGTACGCACGTGGCGAGACAACCTTAGACTCTACAGAGTTTTGAGTTGAAACAAACACAAATATTGACAAAATCAAAACGAAACCAAACCAGAGAAACAGAAAGAGAGAGAGAGGTGGGGGGGGGAGGAGAACACAAAGAGATACACCGTCGCATACCAATGTGGCGCAGACCAGATCCAAGAACCGGCCTCACAGATGTAGTAAGGATAGCACAGCGGAAGACTGAAATACCAATAATCAGACCCAATCAATGTCACGACACAGACTGAACATCACCATCATCATCATCACACACAGAGAAGAGGTGCCAGGCCCTAACATACACAGACGAGGAGGAGGGAGGAGAGACGATGGGCGGGGAAGAAGGAGAGATGTCGTCAACTCAAAATGTCGTCGATACTGATCCAAAAATAGTCCCCCACAATGTCTCTGTCCAGATGTCAAGTCTGAATCCGTACGTCACCAAATCTCAATGTCGTAGATCTCTCTGTCTGACGAAGAAGGAGGGGACAGAGCGCTGGAAGGTAAGAGGAAGAGCGATGGACTGGAGGAAGAAGAAGAAGAAGAGGAAGAAGAAGAAGAAGATCTCTCTCTCTCTCTCTCTCTCTCTCTCTCTCTCTCTCTCTCTCTCTCTCTCTCTCTCTCTCT